AACAGAATCCCTGGTGCTAGACATGCCCTTTTGCTGTGCGGCACCCTATGCTAGGCAAGAACCCTCGCCAAGTTGATTAAACATAAATCCGTGGTGCTAGACGTGCCCCTTTGCTGTGTGGCACCCTTTGATAGGCAGGAACCCTCCCCAAGTTGTTAAACAAAAATCATTGGTGCTAGGCGTGTCCCACCTGCTGTGCGGCACCCTCTGCTAGACAAGATCCCTCCCCAAGTTGATTACAAAAAGAGTCCTTTGTGTTAGGCGTGCCCCATCTGCTGTGCGGCAAACTCTGCTAGGCAAGACCCACCCCCAAGTTGATTAAAGGTGCATCCTTGGTGTTGATGTGCCCCATCTGCTGTGCGGCGCTTTCTTTTAGGCAAGACCCCTCCCCAAGTTGATAAAAACAGAATCCTTGGTGATGGAAGTGCCCCATCTGCTGTGTAGCACCCTCTGTCAGGCAATGGCCCTCTCCAAGTTGCTTAAAACATGTTCATTGGTGCGAGGCGTGCCCCACCTGCTGTGCGGCACCCTCTTCCCCAAGTTGTTTTTGAAAGAACCCTTGGTGCTAGACGTGCCCCACCTGCTGTGTGGCAACCTTTGTTAGGCAATGGTCCTCCCCACGTTGATTAAAAAAGAACCGTTGGCGCTAGGCGTGCCCCATCTGTTGATCGGCACCTTATGCTAGGCAAGTCCCCAAGGGCGTCGTCGCCCCCGCCGCCGCCAGCCGCCGCCGCCCGATGGGGTTGGGTTGCGGGTCCAAAGCCTCCTGGATGTTCGTTTGGGGGTCTCTTTGGAGGTTTCTCGTCGGGCTTTTGGATGCTGTTTTGAAGCCTCCTGGGGGGCCGTTTTGGGGCCTCTTAGGGCCTCGTTTGGTCTTTTTGGGGGCCTCATGGAGCCTTCTGGGTGTTTCTCGAGGCCTCCCATGACCTTCTTGAGGCGGAATGCCCCAGGAGCCCGCAGGATGAATCCGTTGGAAGCGTGTCACCAGTGGCGCGGTCCGGGTGGCTTCACAATCCTTTGTGTTTAACGTATGTGCCTATAGATTGGTCTTCTCCTGGGGCTTCCTGAGGCCTCCTGGGGCTTCCTGGGGCCTCCTGGAGCTTCCTGCGGCTTTCTGGGGCTTCCTGGAGTCTCCTGGAGCCTCCTGGGGCCTCCCAGGGCTCCCCGGGGTTTCCTGGGGCCTCCTGGTGCCTTCTGGGGCTGTCTTGGCCCCTCCCGGTGCCTCCTGGAGCTGTCTTGGCCCTCTCCTGGGGCGCGAATCCTTTTGTGTTAAACGCATGTGCCAGTAGATTGGCCTTCTCTTGGAGCACGAGTCCATTGTGTTTCACGTATGTGCTTATAGACTAGTTTACTTTTGGGGCACGAGTGTTTAATGTTTTACGTGCGTGCTTATAGATTGGCCGTATCACGGAGCGCGAATATTTAACGTGTTACGTGATGCCTAAAGATTTGCCTTCTTTTGGGGCGCGAATCCTTTGTGTGTTTACGCATGTGCGTATAGGTTGGCCCTCTCCTGGGGCACGAGTCCTTTGTGTTTCACGTGTAGGCCTATATATTGGCCCTTGATAGGGGCACGAATATTTAGTGTTTGACGTGTTGGCTCATCGATTTGTCCTCCCCTGGGGCACGAGCCTTGCGTGTTTTACGCATGCGCCTGTGGATTTGCCCACTCTTGGGGCACGAACCCTTCGTGCTTTACGTATGGGCCTATAGATTCGCCCTCTCTTGGAGCACGAATCCTTCGTGTCTTACGTGTGTGCATATAGATTGGCTGGTACGCGAATCCTTTTGTGTTCAACGCATGTGCCAATAGATCGGCCTTCTCTTGGAGCACTAATCTTCTTAGTGTTTTACGCATGTGCCTATAGATTGACCCTCTCCTAGGGCGCGAATATTTCGTGCTTCACGTGCGTGCTAATAGAGTGGCCGTATCATGGGAGACGAATCCTTAGCGTGATTGGCCCTCTCCTGGGGCACGATCCCTTTCCAGGGGCACGAATCTTTCGCGTTTTACGTATTTGCTTATAGATTTGCCCTCCCCTGGGGCACGAACCTTGCGAGGCGTCACGAGCTTCACTGGGCGTCAGTGGAATAGAAGCTTCAGGCCGAATAGAGGCTTCACGAGCTTCAATGGGCGTCAGGGGAATAGAGCTTCAAGCCGAATAGAGGCTTCACGAGCTTCACCGGGCGTCAGGGGGATAGAACTTCAGGGCGAGTAGAGGCGTCACGAGTTTCAACGGGCGTCAAGGGGAATATAGGCTTCAGGCCGAATAGAGGCGCCACGAGCTTCAGTGGGCGTCAGGGGAATAGAGGCTTCAGCCCGAATAGAGGCGTCACGAGCTTCAATGGGCGTCAGGGGAGTAGAAGCTTCAGGCCGAATAGATGCTTCACGAGCTTCACCGGGCGTCAGGGGAATAAAGGCTTCATGCCGAATAGAGGCTTCACGAGCTTCACCGGGCGCCAGGGGAATAGAGGCTTCAGCCCGAATAGAGGCGTCACGAGCTTCAATGGGCGTCAGGGGAGTAGAAGCTTCAGGCCGAATAGATGCTTCACGAGCTTCACCGGGCGTCAGGGGAATAGAGGCTTCATGCCGAATAGAGGCTTCACAAGCTTCACCGGGCGCCAGGGGAATAGAGGCTTCAGGCCGAGTAGAGGCGTCACGAGCTTCAACGGGCGTCAAGGAGAATAGAGGCTTCAGGCCGAATAGAGGCGTCACGAGCTTCACCGGGCGTCAGGGGAATAGAAGTTTCAGGCCGAGTAGAGGTTTCACGAGCTTCAATGGGCGTCAGGAGAATAGAAACTTCAGGCCGAATAGAAGCTTCACGAGCTTCAATGCGTGTCAGGGGAATAGAGGCTTCACGCCGAATAGAGGCTTCACGAGCTTCAATGGGCGTCAGGGGGATGGAGGCATCAAGCCGAATAGAGGCTTCACGAGCTTCAGTGGGCGTCAGGGGAATGGTGGCTTCAGGCCGAATGGGCGCGTCTAGGGTCGCCACCCCACCGGTGCGTCGCAATTCGTAGGCCGAATAGAGGCGTCATTGGCCGAATACAAGCTTCAGGCCGAATAGAGGTTTCAGGCCGAATAGAGGCTTCACGAGCTTCAATGGGCGTCAGGGGAATAGAGCCTTCAGGCCGAATCGAGTTGTCACGGGCTTCACCAGGCGTCTGCGGAGTAGAGGCGTTACCGCATCTCCTTGGGGGAATGGCGTCTTCAAATAGCGTCTTCGGCGCCGGCTCGAACGGGGACCCCCCGGGGCCAGGCCCTTGTTTATGTTTATATATATATATATAAAAATGTGTGAATGCGTCTGTGTAGATATGTATAGATGTATGGTTGTATATAATTATATGTGTTTACACATACGCCTATCCATAACTATACAGAATATCAGTTACGTGTATGTATGAAATGAATTGAAGTAAATACCTACATGCATACACACATACGTATACATATGTATATATATATATATATATGTAAAATCATACATACATCGGAGGTTGGGGGGTGAGATCGCAGTGAAACGGAGACCCCCCACTGGGAAATCGGTTTCGGTTTCGTGTTCGTGTCGTGCGTGCGGGCGAGGCGAAGCTGTGCGTGATCCTCCTGTAGCTGGGCCGAAGTAGGAGCGAAAGTCCGTTTCCGTCCGCCGGTGGCCGGGAAGTGTCCCAGTTGGGCCGGGCGGTGTCCCAGGTGTCCCGGGTGTCAGTAGGAGCGAAAGTCCGTTTCCCGTTCGCCGGTGGCCGGGAGGTGTCCCAGTTGGGCCGGGCGGTGTCCCGGGTGTCTCGCGATGTCCCGTGGTGTCTCGTTGAGTGATATCGATAGTGATATCGATAGTGAGATCGGTAGTGAGATCGATATTGAGATCGATAGTGACATCGGTACTGAATTCGATGTGGTGCCCCGGGGTGTCCCGTGGTGTCCCAAAAAAGAGAGAGATCGATAGTGATATCGATAATAAGATCGACAGGTGTCCCGTGGTGTCCCGTGGTGTCCCGTTGAGCGAGATCGATACTGAGATCGATAGTGAGATCGACAGTGAAATCGATGTGGTGCCCCGAGGTGTCCCGTGGTGTCTCAAAAAGTGAGGTCGATAGTGAGATCGATAATGAGATCGACAGGTGTCCCGTTGTGTTCCATGGTGTCGCGTGGTGTCCCGTGAGTGAGACCGAGGGTGAAATCGATAGTGGGATCGATAGAGCGATCGACGTGGTGTCCCGAGGTGCCCCGTTGTGTCCTGTGGTGTCCTACGGTGTCCCGTTGAGTGAGATCGATAGTGAGACTGATAGTGAGATCGAGAGGTATCCCGCGGTGTCCCGTGGTGTCCCCTGGTGGCCCGTTGAGTGAGATCGACAATGAGACCGATAGTGAGATCGACAGGTGTCCCATGGTGTCCCGTGGCGTCCCGTTGGGTGAGATCGATAGTAAGATCGATTGAGTTAGATGTTAATTCCCCCCTCTCCCACCCCACAACCTCCTTATCACCCGAAGGGTGGTCGTATAGGTATATAAGGAACAGAGCTCCCCCATGTTGTGGCTGGTCGCATCCCCCTCCGCCCCCTCCGCCCCCGCCGCCCCCCGCGGCCGTACCCGCCCACGGCGCTCGGAGGGCGCCAACTATATACACCAGCGCCGATCCACCTTGGACCCAGGATTCGGTGTACACGCCCCTGTATGGATTACCTTCGGCCTTGTGTCACGGGCCTTCGACGAAGACTTTCATGGCCTGAGTGTTGCTCCCTCGCGCACCCGGCCCCTCCGGCCGCCTCGCGCCCTTTCGCGCCCTCCGTCCGTCGTGCCATGTGCCCCGGCGCGCCCCGCTGCTGGTCGACCGCCGTCTGATTATCTTCTGGCCGGTGGCTTCAAAGTATACGCTTCCCTGGCCAGGCCAGGAGGGGGAGTACACCGATCCTAAGCCCAGGACGGGCCTGGATGAACCCGAGAGTCCGATGTCGCGGAAATCACTACAACAGATGGTGAGAAATCACGACCGGAGCCCTATAGACCCCACTTCTTTGCGCCATCTCTCGAGCAGCATCGATCTGTGAGGGTCCCGAGGCTCAAAGCTGGGCGAAAACGACTGGCTCGGGGCTGGCCAAGGGTCGTGGTGCACATCGCTCCCAGTTCCCAGGCCCCCGACGTCATGATTTTTCATAACGTCGATCCCCAGAGGTGTCGATCCACTCCCTGGGACTAGTTTTTCATTCCGAGTATTCTTTTGAATGTCCTGGGGCCTGGCAGGGGCCCCTGACCTGAACGGGTCTGGATTGGCGCCCTCTTCAAGGCGCGCCATCCGCGCCGCGGCCCTGCGCGGCGCGGGGCGCGTGCACGCCTGCGGCGGCGGCGGCGGCGGCGCGGGCTGGTCCTGCTGCCGGTCCTGCTGCGCGGCCTTCGCCGCGCGGCGCGGCGGGGGCACCTGTGGAGGTGGGCGCGGGGCTGGGCGATGCCCGGCGATCTCGGAGTTCGAGGATCTTTCGGAGGAGAGCGAGGACCCTGAGAGTCTGGCGTCCCGATTGTTTCGACCCGGGCGTTTGGGTCCAATTTCGGGCCCAACGACCTTCACACATTGACGCAGCTCGAAGAACGTAGCAGAAATATGGGGTCGACGTTCCATTTGTGATTTTTTACTATGTTTCAATTTTGTCGAGACGTCGGACCTCAGGGGAGGAGGAAGAGGACGAGGAGGAGGAGGAAGAGGAAGAGGAAGAGTAGGAGGAGGAGGAGGATGAGGATGAGGAGGATGAGGAGGACGAGGATATCGATAATTGGCGGAGGGGAGGAGGAGGAGAAGGAGGAGGAGGAGGAGGAAGAAGAGGAGGAGGAGGAGGAGTAACATAAGTATCAGCACTGCGCACCCAGGTGCGAAAATCGACTGAACTAAAAAGTTCGAGTCTGGCTAAGGAGCGCAAGCGGGAGAAGCTGGCACGGCAGCGGCTACGGTTTCCTCCACGGCCATGCCGTGTGTGCCGCTCGAACAACTGGAGTGAGGCCGTCGCGTCCCGCGCGCGCGGGTAAATTGGCCGTGGTCGATCTTCGCGAGGTTAGTCTTGCCCTTGCGGGGGAGTCCGCGGCACAAAACAGCGAGGTGGCGTGGGACTTCAGTGGCAGTCTTGCCACATTCGCGGCAGAAGTACAGGTAGCACTTCTGCATAGAATAAAGCTGATGTGTGCCATGCAGTTCGCGTCCGCTGGCAGTCGGCTCTGGCGGTCTTCTGTATCGGGACCATTTGCTCGCTGGCAGTCGGCTCTGGCGGTCTAGCGTGGCAGGGCGTCGGGCAGGCCTGACGGACGGTCCGCTTGTCGGCTGTTAGGCCGCATCGCGAGCATCTGTACTTGCTCGCGTGCGCGCTGCTGTGCAGCGCCAGCTGGAGCTTGGTGAGGCGCGGGCCCTTCGCTTGGGAGGAACGCTCGGCGACCCATGGGTCTACTGCTAGCGCGTCGGCGAGCGTTCTGCGCGCTGGCCGATCGATCAGCGCACACTGGGTGTCGTGCAGGTCTGTGGGGGGCGCTTCGGTAGCAAGCGCAGCCTCCCAGGACCGCTGGGCGGCTACGCTTGCCCAAGCGTCAGCACATGCATTGCTTAGCGTGTTCGCGTAGCGGACAGGATCAGAAGCTAGGCCAGCAGCGTCGTCATTGTGATAGGCCACCCGCATCACATCGACAGAGCCAGGGCCGCGGGTGCGAGCGGCCTTTCCTATGCGTTGCCACAGGTCCTTGTTCGCGCCTTCTGGGCGCAGGTGTCGGTTCGACCTCCACCCATCGAGCAAATGCATGCTATATGTCACGCAGCGGAGGTCGCCGAGCGAATTCTCGAGCGCTCGGGCGAACGCGAGCAGCCCCGCACGCGGGACAGTTTGAAAGGGGACCTCCAGGCCCGAAGTTACGCCGCCCCAGAGACCCACGCCCCGAAGTGGCGCTTCATCGCGATCACGGCAGCCCCTGCCATGCGGCGGCGGGGGTCAGCCATGCTGACCTCCTGAGCCGTCCCCTTACAGGGTGAGGAGACCAGCCGAGTCTTCACACACTTCCCAGTCCCGCCCCACCCAGCTCCACCCACCGTCCCCGCCTAAATCTGCAAGAACAGGGCGCGTGTCTGCACGGGCAGGGAGGCCGCGGGGCCAGTAGGCAGGCGATGCTTCCGCCTTAGCAAGGGCAGAGGGGAGGAGGACATCACAATGCACGTCGTCCCCGTGGTCGCGGTTGCAGGGGCACAGCCAGATCTTGTGCTTGAGCGTCTCGGTTTCGGCTCTGCATCTGGGGCAGGTCGCATCCGCCTGGTACCATGCCACGATGAGCCTCTCCCTCAGCCACTGCGCTCCCGCGACCACGCACAGGTGGAGGGCTCACTGGTCGAACTGGCCCTTGTTGGTGAGCCGACGCATCTCGTGCGCGATGCTGCGTGCGTCAGGGCCGCCGCCCGTTCCCGTGGAGGTGCTAAGCGGCGTCGTCACAGAGGTCGCTCTCGATGGTCTGACAAAGCTCGTGGACGAACTGCGACGGGTCGACCTCGCAGCGCCTTTCGCCCCAACCGCCGCAGCCCTTGCCTTGCGCCTTGCAGGCTCACCTTCGCGAGGTCGCGGGACCGCTCGAAAGGAGCCGGACAGCCCCGCCCTGCGTCCACGAGGATGGCTTGCGCGGCGAGGATGTGCCCCGCCACATTGCGCCACTTCTTGTTGCCGTGGCTGATGGACTTCTGGTAGACGAGCTTCCACGCCCGGACGATCCGCTCATGGTAGTCGGGGTTGGCAAGCCAGAGGTGGGGCCACCCTTCGAAGGTTTGCATGCGGAGCTCGATGCCAGGGTCCTGGGTGCCCAGGGCAGTGGCGAGCGCCGTTGCGGGGCGCCTGCCCGGGACCTTCCCTGCTAGCGCCCGTGGAGCTTATCGCCGTTAGTCGGCGACGGTGTTCGGCGCGAGGCCCATGATCTGGCGGCCGCAGGTGCCCTGCGGGCTGGGGCCCGTCGCCCAGGGGCCCTTCGCGATCTTGGCGCGGGAGGCGTACTCCCGAAATATTTGTGGCGATGCAGTCGGTCCTGCGCTGCGCCTTCCCCGCGCACTGGTAGGCCCTGGCGGCCGCCCCGTTCGCGGCTGCCGCGTCGATGCCCGGGCCAGCGGATGAGTTGGCGACCTCGACGGGGTAGCCCTCCGCCTTGAGGCCGATGTGGGCCGCCGGCGCGACCGCTGGGCTTGACGCGAGCACCGCCGTCTTGGGCAATGCTTTGAGCGCCGCCGCCGTCATGCCCTCGCAGAGGATGGCACCCGCGCCTGCGAGGTCCTTGGCGACCTGCCTGGGCTCGCCGTCGGCCCTGGCGACGGCGTCGCCCGCGAAGTCCCAGAGGCCCGCGTGGGTGTAGTCGAGGCGGGCCTTGGCGAGGACGGCGCCCGGGCAGACCTTCGCCAGCTTCCCGCCGCGCGCGCTGCCAGCGACGATGGGGCGCTGCGGGCCGATGACATCGCCCACCCAGCCACGCATGCGGAGGCGTCTGGGGGCCGGGGCCAGTTGCACCTCAAGCGCCGCCACGACGGGCGGGAACTTCGCGCGGGTGGCAGCGTCGAAGAGTTCGCAACGTTAACGGAGTCGTAGAACTACTCAACGCCCACGAGGAGCGCCGCGTACGAAAATCCGATGGCCGCCGCCGGCTCGTCGAGGAGCGCTCTCGCGAGGGCTGCTCGCAGGGCGCTGGGGCCCTTGATCGCCGCGCCCCAGAACTCGCCGGGATCCTGCGACAACCGGTCGGCTATCGCGGTCCACAGGCGATCGCGGGGAGCGTGCCGGGGACGCGCTCGCCGCCGGCGAACTCGGGGGCCGCGGCGCCCACGGTGGCGCAGAACTGCCGCGGCCGCGGCCCGCAGTGCCCCGCGTAGTTGTAGACCCCGTAGGTGTAGATGTCGGCCAGCTGCTCGACGCCATTCGGCGGGGGGCGCCGCGCTCCGAGGGGTCCGATGTCGTCGACGCTTCGTGCCTTCTTGGGTTTAGCTGCGCTTTCCACCGCCTAGATGTGCTGCGGCTCGACGTTGGCGAGGGGGTCCTCCATGGCGTGGCGCATCGCGTTGGCGCGCGCCTGGATGATCTGCTTCTCGTCGTGGGCGTCGGTCGCCCGCGCCTGCCCCCGCGCGTCAGCCGCCTTGTTGATGGCGGCGCAGGGGTCACAGACGATGCTTCGGTTGAGCTTGGCGCCCCCTCTGGGCGCTAGGGTCGATGGCGATTCGGTGCAACTTCCCAGGGGGCTCCATCCATGCCATCTCGGTCCAGTCGGGGTAACGCGCGCGGGCTCTGCCAGCAGCCCTCGCCATGGCACTGTCCGCCCATAGCTGCGCCATGGCCTTCGTCGCAGAAGTCCAGGGAGGCGATGTGGAGCTTCCATTCGTCGGCCCCGGTAGGGTCAACCACGGTGCCGGAATGGTCCTTGTGGAAATCGGGATTGTCGAGCAGGCCCAGCTTGGCAGCGATGATCATGCGGATCTGGCGCTGGGCTCGGGCGTCCTTGCCAATCTTGATCAGCGAGGTGCAGCGAATGATGAGCGTGCTGAAGTGTTGCCACCGCGCTGCCTCAGGGCCTTTGGCCCTTGACGTAGGTGCGCCCAGGCGTCGCCTTCATCGTCTGGTTCACCGTCTTGTAGCCCTGGGCCTTGGTTTGGCACATGGTCTTCTCCTCTAGGGGGGCGTCGTGCTTTTCCCAAGAGCGACCCCCATGGTGACCAGCCAGTGCGCGTAGGCTGCGTTGACCATCTTGATGGCGTTCGGCGCGCGCTCGCGGGAGATGCGCCCCCTGCCCTCCTCGGCGCCCACGAGGCGGCCCTCGAACATCGGGGGGCTCGCGACGACGGCCGCCGCCTTGTCCCAGAGTTCGCTGGGGATGGCGACCGGAACGTCGCTCGTGTTCTCGGGCTCGCTGCTGACCTGGAGCGCGCCGAATTCGGCGCGCAGGTGTTCCGGCAACCTATCCCTCCTGGTTTGCAGCGCCTCCGCTCGAGCCTCTGACCTTCTGCTATTAGGGTCGGCGCCTTCTTTTTGGCTTGGCTCTCGCGGGTAGGGCTTTAGGAACCTCGATAGCTTCGCCATGCCGCGGCTCGGCGGTTCCCGCCGTGACGTGGACGCCGCAGTGGGTCTTCCACGGTGCGTCGCAAATCGCCTCCTTCTCGATATGCGTGGCGAGGTCCTTCCCGACGATTGCGTTGTCGCGCTCAGGGCCCTTCCCCTTGTCGCGCGTGGCCGTGCACTTGGGGTCGGTGACGACGGCGCCGTTTCATCTGGTGAGCCAGGGCCTTTCTCCCCACCAGTGTGGCTCGTAGTTCCAGTCGGCCAGGATTATCCAGGGGTCATTGACCACGGCCACGAATGTGGAGATCGACGCGAGGTTGTACCCGTTGGCCCCCCTGTCGCGGGGCCCTGGCCGCAAGTGCGCTGTCTCGAGGCAGTGCCCCC